TGTAAAATAGAGAATGGCAATATGTTCCACAACTCTAGATGCCAAATTTTATTTCAAAAAAAAAACTGTAGATACCAAATTTACATCATAATGCACAATATAAATAATCAAAATCAACTGCTACCAAGTTAAACTCACCCGGAACAGGATATAATCCGAGCCATGAGTTGGGTGGCAAAAGTGATTGAACATGTTCAAAAGGATGAGCAGCAGCCTTTTTCTCCAATATTTCACGAAAAGCTTCAACAAGAGAACATATAAGGAAACAATTATTTGATGTTAACCTGCTAACAAAAAGTTGTAGCTACCATCGAATCTCAAGAATGCTCAGCCATGCTTTGTTACCTTTTTTGAACTTAGCGCTAATCTTTTGCAAAAGTCCAACTAGGGTAGTTGCTTCTAAACCAGCTTTACTTGGCCTAGGATCAAGGACATCCCCAGTGCTAGAATTAACATAAAATATCTTTGTGGTTCCAGTAATACAATATTTATTACCCTCCAATGTCAGCACATCCAAATAAATTAAGTCACCTACAAGCCTGCAGCAAAGGGGAAAAAAATCTTTTGAATACACCAATTCCACAGCTAAACAGCATCTTCCTTAAGTAAATGGAAGGAACTCCCATCCTCTTATGCATGGATGGAAGCCTTAGTTATTGTCAACATATTTCTGTCTTCTCAAAGAAGTAGATGGAGAATATAATGGGATAAAAGAATGTAAGAATATACCTTCTATAGCTCGGTGGAGGATTGAAGGATGAAAAAACAATGCTCTCCAAGCACTTGATCTCTTTGGAAGGAGGTAATAGTAATTTACCAAGTGAACCAGGAACATCTTCCATAAAACCCAGGCCATCAAGCTCAGTGATCTCAGTTTTCACAGCATCTGGATATCAGTGAAATAAATAGCTGACTACCTCCAACTAATGCAAAACTTACAGAAAAGAAATACACAGAAATTATAGGTATACATCCCAAACCTCCTGAACTTGAGGTCTTATTCTGTGCTGTCCCAGGCGGCGATGCAATTGATGATGAAAGAGAGGCATTAAG